TAAAAAATAACTCTTAATGCATGTGCATATACAAGTATATACATACAAGTATATTAAATATTTTCGAAATTGTACAATGAAAAAAACCAGATAATATTATGAGAATTTATTTTTTAAGGAACAAAAATAAAGATAATTTTTTAAGAAAACATACAAATATGTATTATATTTGTTTAGTTTATACTAGACAAATGATTTTTATTTTTCGTGTTTGTTTATTTACTTAAATTTTTGTCACTGAAATGGTGTTTTTTAGTCTAGTTTGAGTCGTTAATATATATAGTTAATGGTTATAATTAATGAGTATTTAATTAACTTATTCTATATGAAATATTTAATTGGCACGTATGAGATTTTTTTTAATATTGACTTTATTCTTACAAATAGTGGAAAAATTGGGATGATTTACTCTATTTTTACTATAAATGTATGTTACAAAATGTATTTTTTAATTTTATTGTTATGTTTTAAAAATCATTTTTATTCTATACATAAATTAGACTTAATTTTTTTACTACATTATTAGAATATGAATTCACTATTTTTTAAATGGAAAAAAAGAAAAAATTAATTTTTATTCACTTAGTGTTTTTTCCATATCGCCTGAATTATTTGAATGGAGTTTATTACCTAATAAATATAAAATAAAAATCAATTATGTTAAAAATATTTACCCAAATAATATATGTCACTAAAGGTACTATTCGAAAGTATAGTAGAGCCTAGTACTTTAGGCTCTAAAAAGAAATCCATCATTATGTCACGTGTGTGAAATTTATTGTATATAGTATGTTGACAGTCCAAATGCAAGGAGAATATACTCAGACAACTGAAAACATATTCAAAAAACGAGACTATACTTAATATAACAAGGATTTTGTATTTTGTACTTAATACTTTTGTTTTTAAAATACTGCAAAGAAATTCGTTGCGATTTTTTTTTATTATTGTATCTAACAACTTATTTAGACCTCAATGCAATACAAAAAAGGTATAAATTGTTATTTTTATATGAATATTATGTTCTCTTGATGAGATTTATATAACATGTGTGTTAAATAGAACACTACAACCCAAATAGAATAGTTAAATTTATAACTTGTGTCAATATGTACGTAAATTCAATTAATTGATTTATTTCATATTATGTATTTCTATTAAATACCTTGTATACAAATATTTGGTGTAACTTTGACAATTTGAAACGATTTGCATACAAATGAAAAATTAACACATTTCATAACTGTACAAAAGCACTATTAAAATGTTCAACTTGTTTTTACAGCTTATTTTTTTTTTTTAATAGAATCAAATTAAAAATATTTTTAGCAAAAATGTTTTAAATTTGATTTAATAGTGAGCTGTCTGTTTGAATAAATCTAAGTAGTATAGTAGTTATTAAATAATGTGCATAATAAGTTGTTTCATAATTAGCGAATATTCACTCTATAAAAAGATTACCTGAATGTTGAAATAATATATAATTCATTTTTATTTTTTTAATTATATTTTCAGTTAGTATTTTTTAATCACAAAGATAAGATTAATGCAGTTTGAAGCGAAAAATTAATTTGAAAAAAATGGTTAAAAGTATTTTGAAAAGTAAAATTAAAAAAAAGTAAAACAAATACTTAATTCCATCGCTGTCACTCTTTGTACTACATAGTATGAAAATCGATGTCCAGAAATGGCCTTTATTTTATATTTAAAACTTATTAGAATTCAAGACCTTTTATTATTAATGGAGTAAAAGTTAAACTCCCAACTGTAGAGTAAAGATATCCAAAAAAAAAAACAAAAAAAAAACCGAAAAAAATGTTTCATAATAGAATTACAACAATATTGAAATTGCTTAATAAAATATTCTGATTAATAGAAATGCTGCCGGCTAGATGTTGACAAATTATGCATATGTCACATTATAATAGAACAATGATGGTACAGATGGACAATACAGACAATAACATGTAATGGAAGAATCAGTATTATCAACGTTATTATGTATATTTGTAGCATTTTTTAAAAAAGTTTCGTGTCAGTGTACACTGCAAGTAAAAGCAGATGACAACGAAATTTCAAGAACAGTTCATGTTTGTTTCTTTTGACCTTTCTGTGAAATGTTTTCATCATAACTTTGTACCGTTTTTTCTTCTCTATTTACTGCTGTCATTGCATCACCCAATCATTTATACACGACACGATATTATTTCACTGCAAACCGATTCGGCTGGCGAGACACCTAAACTTGCCGGTAATACACACTTTTCATCTTTTTCCTTAGTCCCAACTCTAACTTGACAACATGATTAATGACGTATATGGGTCAAAAAAGAGAACTACATACGTCTACATATTTCACATTCTACTTTTGCAAATAAAGAATACGATTATTTCATTCGATACACAACGATTATATTTTGAAATTATTTCAATTGTCCGCACACAAAAGGACACATAAGTATAAGATGTAGATATAATATAAAACATTATTGTTGGGATGGCATACAATAGGAATATAGTGATATACCTTTTCAATCAGTTAGTATGCATCGTTGAATGAATTTCATACTCAAAGTGAGTAGTTTTTCTTATTGATATAATGAATTGTTTAAGAAGTTTTATTCTATGTCGACACTTTCACTATAAAACTTGCGGGCCGGACCTGTGCTTAGTTTTTTTTCGCGTTATTTTTTTATATCTTTTTTCGCGAAAATAAATTATATTATCTTTGGCACCGGACTTGATTGTGACATTATATACCTATATAGAGTGTTCAGCAAGTAAGTAAACGCATTTCTGTTGTTCTTATTGTTTTAACAACTGATCCGTTTCTTTACTTACTGTACACCCCGTGTATATATAATCCTAAACTATTTTAATATTGAATGACTGTTAAAATAAGTTTTAAAAGCTGGTTCTGACAAACTTGAAGAGTAAATTAACTGTGTAACGTAGTTTCATCGTGAGTTGCGTTGAGATTTGATTTAAAAAAGTTTCAGATAAAAAATACAATTTTTATACCATCAATTAATAAGAATAAAATGATGTCGCATTGTGCCGGTTGAATTATGTCACTTGAAAATTGTTAGCGAGACACGCTGGAGACTTTAATCTTACAAATTTTATATAAAGTGGCCAAGTGCGCTGTTTAAGCAGCGACTTGTCCCCATAAACATTCACCGTAGCGTAAATATTGTCCTGGAAACGCAAAATCATTGCGTCCCTATTTAATTTATACATGTGTTTAAAATGTTTACATCGATGACTTTGCTGTACTTGGGCCAGAGGGTTACTATCATGTCGGTTGCGGCTGTCGAGATACGCCGCTATTGATACGGCGATGTCACGCGCGTTGCGGTTCAGCCGAGCCGCCTACCTAACCGCAATGGCGCTTAAGACACCAGACTGTACAAATAACGTTATGAACGTACGGACGTGATGACTTTCTCGAAACCCCTAGACGTATGATAGCACACACAGTTCTTATGAATTCCTGGTACTGAATCTATGACATTTGATAAGAAATACGGTTTAAAGTGTTTGTTCTGTTTATTCATGAATTCTTGGTTCCTTGGAATTGTAATAAATAATGCGGAGCGCAAGCGAATTCGGAATTTTATCAAATGTGATATTATTAACTAGGACATTTCCAGGGGAGGGAATGGCTGTGCCCCACCATCACGAGATTGATTATGCGTTTAATATATTATTTGAAGCGGATATTACACATTTTTCTTATGTTACGATAAAACTTTGAGAACGTCAAAAATATATTTTTAAATATCAGTATTTTATTGGGTCAAATTTATTCAATGGCCATACACAGTGCTTATTTTATATGAAAGTAGACACGTATATTTAATGTTTAAAATGTCGAAAAACACAGTTAACTTTTCAGTTCATCGATTAAATAAAAAATGGTTTTTTTTCGACAGATTTAACCCTCGACCGGTCTCGCAGTATCAGAGTAATTATTTCGTCACGTGGGGTAATAATTTTCCGTTAACTAAATCTACATCTTAAACTAGCAATTTTTGTTATAAAAAAAGTCTAGAGATTTTATATTTTATTTCAAATCGTTTTCTTTAATTTGTTCATTTTTTGTCGAATCTACATTTTCCAAAATAACTCTGGTATAGAACACATTAATTGATGAAACGTCAAGCCAATTTAACTTTAACTAATTCTAAATTAAAATAAGAGGGTATAAAAATTCCAATACGAAATAACATATCAAAATATTAAAAAAAAACACAATTTACGATTGCCGGGATAATCATTTAGTACATACGACTAACGAAGGTTAAGGACTAAAAATAAAATGGAGGACAAATCAATTTCTTAGATTTTCGACAACTACTCAAACGAATAAAATTCAAAACTTGTGAGTATTTCAAAGGATTTTCAATACTCATAAAATACATTTTGTGTTTAAGCCTAACATATACTATTGGGAAAATTTCATTGTAATTTTATAGTGTAACAGTAAAAAAAAGTATAAAAAAATCGTGACAAGTTTAATGTAAAAATTCAAATTCATATTAATTTTAAAACCGTTAGTATTTATTAAAATATTTTGTGATTACTTTATTAAAAATATTTTTATTGTAGAAAATTTGCTTTGTGAAATTCAAGTGAAGTATGTTAATTTGTGTACTTTTCAAGTTATATTAAACATTTTTTACTGACAGCAATGGAACTAATTGGCTGTAAAATAATATTTCTTCTCGTGTCGCAGAGAAAATTTTGCACCCGAAATCAGCGGAGATCAAATTGTTTTTCGGATTCATTTAATTTGTTTTAATTACTATGCAAAATTGATTATCGTTATGAAGGCTGCAGTCAAAATTGTTTAGTCACAGTAATTAATATCTCATTAATATATATTAGTAATTTATATCGACCCTGAGGTTTTAGCAGTAGCATTCCAGCCCAGAGTCTCATAACTATCGAAAGACGATTAAGCTTTACCCTCTACCAGCATACACACAATTCTCTACCTTCCGGATTTTCTATTACCGTTGCGCACTATCCGATAGTGGGCGTCCGGAGATCCACTAAAGCTGTACCTGCTGGTGACAACTTCCCGTCGTATGAGGCTTCCGGTTCGAACATTGATGCACGGCACAAATGAAAAAAACTGCTTGAACCCTTGACGGAATCTATTAACATACAAAAGACACAAAAATTGTTAACACATTTTTTACAACTTTATCTATTCTTTAAATATTTTATGTTAGTTTTTGCTTCAGTGAACAGTAAAACATGTAAAGCGATTTACTGTGTTCAATTGCCATTTTGCTATTATACTACTGAAAATTATATTACCAAAAAAAGAATAACATTTTACAGAGAGAACTTCAAGTATAATTTACTGAAATAAATGAATGAAACGGATAGTTCAAATCATCAAACAAATTTTTGATTGCATTTATGAAACACATTTTAAAATATCCTTTCTAAGTGACTAACGATATACTTCGATGAATCCTTTCATTCTAATTTATAATTGCATAAATGTACCCTAAATATTTATAATATATACTTTTATTATTATTTATAAATTATTACTTTTTATGTTCATTTCTTACATCTCATGAGTTGGGCGCGGAATTATAAATATTTATACATTTTGTTTAAGCCGCTTTGAAGAGTCCCAAATATGTGCAACTTTTAAGTAGGATTATATAGAAACGTAGAAATATTTTTCGGGGGGATAAATACCCCAATAGTATAAACTCGGTAACAACATATTAGTAAGCTCTAAAGTCAATCAATTAAATTTTTTACTGGCTGATAGTGAGTTCGGAATAATTAAACAAAATGTATAAATGCATATAATTCCACACCCTACTTATAACGTAGTTAATTAAAATTTTCTATTGGTAACATATATAATTAACAAGTTTATTTAATATATAATGAACCAATTAAGAAGTTACTAAGATTTGTAAGTATTGACCGGAGATTAGGTGTGGGTACTGCTATTTTCATCACTAGACATTTCTCGACTTCTCACCTCTCCTCCCGCCTAGATATGAAAATGTTAAAAACTTCTGAAATATTAGTACAAAAATGGATATCGACCAGTCATTTTCATAACTAGATCGTTATTTATTAAAGTTGATACCCTTATAAGGTTTAAGGGATGAATACAAAGAATACTTAATAATTGATAATTTAGAAAACTATGTTATTATTTAACATTAGAAACTTTTAAATTAAAAAAAACAAAAACTATATTCACATAAATAAATACAAAACAGTTGAGCATCCTGATTATCTATACGACAAATTATAAATTTATACGTGTAATTTGTATATCGTTATTATTTAATTAATTAACTAATACAATTGCATACAAATGTTTGACTCATATGGTTCCACCAACAAATATTGCCATATTTTATAGAGAAGTCGTCTAATTTGTGTGTAACTAAGTACACATCGCATGAGTGACTTTGTGGTATATGTTAATATCACATGCATATGTCTGTATAAATCATAATCTACGTGCACATGACACAGTCAAATATTAAATATCTTTTGACATTCTAATTTATGAGAAAATCATACTGATTATCAGTTATAAATAAATAATGTACGACAGTATCATTATATTACTAAAATTTAAATTTCTATTTACTTTTTTTAAAACAAATACACTAGATTATAATTACATTAAAAACAAAGGGTTAAGTTTTATTTTGGCAACAAATATGGTATTGATATCGTAATTAAAAATGTGAGTAAATTTACTGTTTGATTTATTAGCTAAACTTTTTAATTATAAGCAACCACTAGTTACAGCAAAACTAAATTAATAAAAAATTCTCATCACAATCGAAACCGTATTAGTTATTCATAATTGGTTCTAATTATGAACTATTTATTTAAATATTTTAAATAAATAATTTTTAAATATTTAAAGAAATGTTTAATAATGAAATGTTCAAATAAAATTATAAATATTGTTCACTTGTTTTATAAAATAAAGACAATCAGGAACAAAAAAATTAATTGGACTTGTTAGACAGCAAAATCAAAAATACAGTTTATGTTCCATCATTTAGTTAAATTGTTGACAAGCACACGCGTAGTTATTATTTCGCGTTATTTTTAAACAACATCATTTTTAATTAAAATTTAAAAAATTTTCATTCGACGTAAATTTTTAATTCTGTTAAATATAATTGTGATGATACAATTAGAGGAGTAATCTTTTTTTGGTTAAAAATAAGATACAAAATTAGAATTTTATTATTTTTCAGTAGGGTTTATTTTTATAATATTTAAATTTAGATTTCTAATTTACTCAGCTTATAGTTTACAATGGTATTTACATAAACCGCCCCAAAGTGCCTAATACCTCACAATGATGCCGACTAAAAAAATAAAAAGAGTATTTACATTCTAATGTAAGCATTTAAGGTCATTATTTAGTGTTTTTGTTTAGAAATTATGGTTTTTTAAGAAATTGGTTAGTTTCATTTGAAATATATTTTTTCCTTTAATATAATACTTATCGATTTCTATATTGAGGACATTACAATTATAGATTTTTTTTATATTAATTGTATATTAAAATTTTGGAAGTTCATAATATTTAATTTTTTTCGTCGAATATTTGATTATACTTTCAAAATTACATTAGAATTATATACTTAAAATTAATTTTATTATTTCTGAAGATTATTAAAAATTCACTAAAAAAATATATTTTAAAATTCCGGGTTTTGATCCATTATTTTACTCAAAAAATATTAAATTGCTTTTCATAAACCTTTGTTTTTAACTGTACACCAGACTATCAGGTCACATGGCTTTAGTAAGATTTCTCGGGAAACCACATTTATCTAATAGATTTAAAACGTGAAACTTTTTACAAATCACTAGCATTTGTGAATGAGGTTAAACAAAACATAAAATTGAACCCTTTAAATAGCAACGACGAGATTTTAAGGTACACTGTTGACTATCTTTAACCAATGTCGATGTAATGTACTAAAAACGGCTACTCCACTTCGGTAAACAACAATTGTAGTGGCAAAAAAAAAATCAAAATAAACCAAACCAGTGACCCTTTACTTCAAAAACACTCCAGTACCTAGTCAAAATGTCGTGGAATATATTGAAATATAAGGAAAAAACAAAAGTGACTTAATATATATACTGACCGCGTGGGTTAAATTCTTATCTATTTTCAATCATTTATATAATTATTCACCCGACATGAAATAAAAGGATTTTTGCGTCTGATAGTTAAATTTCATTTAGATTTCCCAGTAGTACTTATTTGTTTCAAATAGCTTTTCCTCGTATTAAAATGCACAGGAAATTTTTACTTGTACATAATAGTGCACGTTATTAGTAAATTAAGTTTATATGAGATTAACGAGTTTTCATATTATTGCGTGTTGTTTAATAATTCAAGAAGATAAAGAAATTATAAAATCGAAAAGCACATATATATCAGCTACTTTTCCTCGGAATACTCAAAATTATTTCATTCTTACTATTACATATTATTCAATTAAAAAGTTTGATATATTAATTTTATACTCAGTTTTAAATTCTACCAAATTACTACTAATATTACAAAAATTGGTTGGTGTGGTATATTAAATAAGTACCCGTCATTTTTCAATAAAAAAACGAATATTTTCGATTAATCAATTCGGACAATGATTTTTATAGAATTTCATGATTACACACTTTTGTTCAAGTGAAATTTATTTTATTATTTTATGAAGTAATTTAATTTAACAACACTTTAATGAAAATTTTTGTTGAAATATTGGTATTCCAAGCCCGAGGTGAAATTGATGAGTTGTATAGTTTATTATCTTAGTAACAAACGTAATCTATCTAGTTTTTTTATAAATCTAGCCCCAAATTTGTCGTAATGTTTAACACTGAACTGCCGCCTGAGGGTAAAAATATTTTCTTATCTAATAGTATTTTATCACTTATAAATTGATTATTAAATATTTGCCATTCTTTCGAGAAGCTTAAAATTTTCTACCCTGAGGTAATATTCTTTTGTCTTTTACCAGTTAAGTACACGATTTCATTGCTTTGGTTAAGATTTTGTGAATGTACCACCATTACTGTAACACTAAATTTTTGAAAAGTATAATAACATCATTTAATAATTTCATCGATTTAGATAATTTTAATCATCAATATGTCTTTTTCTAACATTTTAAATACTAATTAATCTTAACCTTAAGTAAAAAACATTTTTAAAATGTTTAATTTAGTTTTAATTGCTAGTAAACAACGATATATTCCTATTAATTAAAATTAATAATGCTACATTATTATAGTCAAAGATAAATAAAGAAAAAAGGTGAACTATACTCGAAATCCAGGAAATCTTTTGATGGAAGTTTATACTTTCAAATTAGAAATATATATAAAAAATTGTTGTAGTATTTTGGTTAATAGCTACCAAATATTCAAAACTTTCATTAAATCTCATACCATATGGCAGAATGCACTCATTCGGTAGTTCTTTCTACATTGTACAGGGTAAATGTTGAACTCACGCAATATCTTTAAAAATATAAAACTTTTTCTTTTCAGAAGTTAATAGCGTTTTACGTTTTATGATTTAACTAAAATATATGGTCCCATCTCCATACAGTTCACCTTAAAAGTATGTTAACTTTTGTTTTCTATTAGAAACATATGTTTTTACTCAGCTTTCAAATAAGAAAATTATCTAACTATGAAAAAGACCAGCCGTTAACAATGACTTTCAAACTAGTATTCTTAGAGTTATTAACACTTTAATTTTTTAATAAATTAGTGTGTAATAATAAAAATGTGACCTAGCGAATCACGAGAAACAATTGTCTGAATAATATAAATAAATATCGATGGAAATCTAATCTACTATAAAGATTATATTTATCAGCATAAAAAATTCTTAAGATTATACAATATTTATAATTAATTATCTTATTACTTTTATACTCGTACAAAGATTTATAAAATATTCTGTATTAAGGAATAAACAAATTTAATTATTTAAATTTAAGAATATTTTATATTTTGTTTATACACTGAGTTGATCCCTTTTATTAAACAATGTAATGAAACGATTAACTACTATCAATAAATGTAATCTCAAACATTTTTAAGATACAATCAAAAA